ATAATAATAATAATAATAATAATAATAATAATAATAATAATAATAATGTTTACAGAGCAGTACTTCCTGAGCAAAAGCTGTGGTGGGTCCACATTACATAGAACCTATCTGGCAGTATCAGTGAAGCTGCTTCTGGAAAAGGTGTCACTGATCTGCTCTCTACATTTTTACTGTCTCAAAAATCATGCCACTGTTACCTCTCTCTGCCCCCAGAACTGAGGCATGATGCAGAAACATCAGCAACCAAGAGATTCATAAGGAAATCTTGCACCTTCATGTCCAGCACCCGGAAAGTCTTACTTCCTATACTACACTTATGAAACAAGGCTTTAAGAATACAAGTCACCTCAATACTTTTTCACTAATATTATACAAGTTTTAATTATATCTATGTGTAAGTTTCTGAAAGAATGGAGAACATACCACAAAGCAAAAGAAAAAGCTAATTTTTGCTACTTGAGTTGCAGTGAGCTTTCCTACAGTTTTTAATATTGATTCCTGCTCCTTAACTGTTGGATATGACATGCGAGACAACTTGGCTTCCAACGCATGGCTTGATGGGAGCTGTCGGATCTCCATAATATTACTGAACCTTACACGAGGCTTTTTGGGAGCTGGAAAAGGAAAAAAAGAAGAAAAAAGCTTCATATTATCATTAAACTTCTTGAGACGACACAACACGCAAACAAAGCCATCATGGTTCTAACACAGCATTGATTACAATTCTACACAAATAACAGGTTTTTATCCAAATAGAAGACATGCCATTATTTTTTACTAAACACTAGTATTTTGCTATTCAAGAAGCTACTAATAAGATAAAGCACAATTACTGTTTTCCATCAGTACAGTTGTCCACCCACGAAAACCTCACTGAAAAGCACCATCTCTGCTCCCTGTCAAAAAACCCAACATAAGGTAACAACAAATTTTTAGATAGGAATTATTCCATATTGATAAAATATTACACATAAGATTTTCTTTAATTGTTTAGTAGCCAAACAGCCCAAACCTGCACACAACTACACCTAACTGTAAGGATAATGTTTCATTCAGAAGATGAGAGTCCAACAGACCTCAAAGCCTAGCAGAGATCATAAAGTCATTTGTTCTTTTGAAAACCACCCACTAACTAAGCTTGCTAACCAGGATCAGCTCTTATTCATAAGTGTATTGTAAGTATCAATAGTTTTCTGTGTAAAGAAAACATTACACTACACACTACATGTAAATGTTATCCTAATTCAATTTAAAAATAACCTATTTCCTAAAAAATGTGAAGGGAAAAGCTATGGCTTAAACAACTCTGAAGTGATTGGAGTACGTTTTCACAGTACAGCAGGGGCTACCAAAGTGGTTCTTAACATCTAGAAATTAAAGAAGAGGCTTTGCCTTTTATAAGCAGGGACTCTTTTGCTGAGGACCAGATTATTGCCTTGTTTGACAGTCAACTTTTCTACAACTGTCTGGGACAATTAGGCCTGTTTCAGGTACTATCACAAGATAGTGAGGCTTAAATAAAATCAGAATGCACATAGACTGTTAAAATTCTTACTTTGACTGCTTTGCTCCTGCTCTAAAAAGGACAATAGCTTGTTTTTCCAGAGGCTGACTCACTGCTGCTGGTCATACAAGCCCAGAAGGAAAGAATCACAAGTATTGAACCCAGTTGGTCCCTTGAGATAAACATAGGCTGGATCTGCAGTGACCAAGAAAGGTAAACTGAACGACAGGCCTATGTTTTCTCTACCTGAAAGTAAATATATGAGACTGGAATTCATGCAATAAGGGATTTAAGGAAAGGGAAAAAAAAAAAGGGGGAGGGAAGGAGAAAGGGGGAGGTGAGACCTGCAACATGACAGCAGTTATACTAAAGAGGAAAGTACTTCCTTCACCAAAGAACTAACATTTCAGCATTCCAAAAGTCTTTACTCACTTTTCTCTGCATCACTATTATTACTGCCATTTTTTTCAGTTGGCAAGTCATGAAACTTTACAGGAACATATAAAGGTTCACTCTGCAATGAATCAGTATAAGTAAAAAATACAGTTAAGAGGGATATTTAAATTATAAGCAATAGAACTAATCTAGCAAATCTGAAAACTAAATAAAGAAAAACTTGGTGAATAGTAACAGAATCAAACTTAAAGTGGGTTTGAACACAGTGGATAGACTTGTCAAAAATGTGCATGCATAATGTATATAATGTATTTGCACATGTTGGTAAAATGCAGTATTCAGAGAAAACAGTGCACTTCTGTGTATATCGTCATGAACACAAAAATTATGACCAGAAAATTCAAACCTGATTTAAAATGACAAAATAACTGATCAATATCACAGATGTTTATTAGAACTATAATTTGTCCAAAATTTAAATTAGAAACATAAACTAGAAAATACAGAATATATATACAAAAATTACTGTGTTCTCATTTTCTCACAAACTAGAACTAAACGTCAAAAAACTTTGGGAAAGGAACTCCAACATATAAGACACTTAGAAGTATTTTAAGCAATTAAAACTTCTGCTAACAAGACAAGTTTTAAACTGCTTGTTTAGATCGAATTAATAAACTGTAAGAGTGAAGTAATGAAAAAGATCTGGTAGTTGCATTTTCATTAGGCTCCTTGTTAAGGACCAGAATTTTTGTGGATGTTTAAATTAATGCATAATTGTCCAAGATTCTAGAGTGTGGTGATCTGAACAAATTGGGCAGACTAAGATTTTATTCTTAAATGTAGATAGATAAAGTTGCAAAAAAAAAACCCAACAAAAAATTAAATGAAGAATATGTCTGAAAATAATCTCTCTTCAACTCAATTGCATCCCCCTACTCTGTTACAGAGATGGTGCAAACTTTAAAAGTTTTGTGGTTTGGATACATTTCTGCATGTGGCCCTCTGATTCAGGTACACTAATTAAGCAGCAATCTGTGATCAACAGGGGCATAACAAACTGTCATCTTTGGATGACGAAAATCACCCCAAAAATGCTGCCTGGCAGTGCAGCTTATCAGGACTGACACTGAAACCGAGTCTGTTTCTCTCTCAAAATGCAATGCAGGATCACAGTGTACAAAATACTCCACTGATTGAATGATTCTGTTGTATATTTTAGACTTGAAAACTGTTTGGCTTTACCACCAGCTCTCCATATGTGGCTTTGGCAGGTACTGAGCTGAATATTTAAAGGTTTCCTTTGTATGACATAGTATTTCTTTGACAAACTGCTACAGAAACATTCAAAAGTGTTTTATGGAGCTGAGAAACCTGTATTTCTTATAATAAGCCATGTCATCATTTGCAGGACTTATTAGTAGTATATAAGTCACCAATCCCCTTTGCCAAAAACCGTAACATTTAAGACTACCATATTTTAAAATCAGTAATTCAGGTTAGTGGTGCCATGTTATTGTAAAGCATTGGTCTTCACAAATTCAGGCACTTACCAGAGAACTGTTTACAGTGTTATCTGTTGTACAAGCAGCAAAATAACCTTCGGCATCTGCAAACTAATTACAGAACTTTAAATGTAATAAAAACTATCGAGGTAGAGTTATTAACAACTGAAATTTTTTCAGAATAAGTTTTTTAATGACTTTTTCCATAATTCTGTCACAATTCCCTCTCTCCCCTCAGCCCTCCTCCCCAATACCAAGAGGGCTTAAAAGTTCAGTAAATAATTTTGGTATTTCCTTGTATCTCTTGGAGAACTCCCCTGAATTCAACTACTCAGGTATGAATGCAGGACAAGGTTGTTAAGAAAGCCAAAACCTGTTTAGTCTTAGCAAGACATGCTTCACATGTGCAGGAATTAACAACAAGCTGCTCCTTTCTTCATTTTACTGAGGCAGAGTTCCTTTGCATAAAAATGTGGGACTCTGCCTCAGTTTTAACAACACTTAAATTACAATGAAGTCAAGTCCCACTTTCCCCCCTTTCTTTCTGCACCATACCAAACCCTGTTCCCTGACCTGCAGGTTGCTGTTCTACCATTATCCATTAAACAAAGGTAGCAATCTATTAAACAAAGCCTCTAATGTGGAAGAGGACTTAAATGTAAGGTGTGAGTGTTTACCCAAGCAATCACTATTGAAATAAAACCCTATAAATGTATTTTTGTTCCAGATTAATAAACACAAGGCATTTTAAAGGCACTTATAATGATTATACAGTTGAATATTTAACTACACTGCTTGTGGGGGGGAGGGAATCTTCTAACTTCATACTACAGTCCTGTCTGCACTGTACTTCTGAAATAGGCTAACATCAAAGTAATGGCTATTTCCTACAAATTATTTTAATATTATTTTTTATAGGATTAGAAAGGAAAAATAGTGAGATTCCAGCAGCAGTGTCATGAGTGCCATACACGTGACAGACTGAGCACTCTTACTCATAGCTATCCAGTTCATGAGATCATATTATCTCTCTTAGAGAGAGCAGTGTACAAGATTCAGCTGGTCAATGTAACCACTACAACTCACATTAGGCAGCATCTTATTCTTATTATTCTACCTATGTGTTCAGATTAATAAATTTGGTCAGTATAATTGTTCTGCACATCACCCTAATTTGACATTACTGCCAATAAAGAAACTGCAAGCTCTGTTTATGTCCTGATTATCTTATGAAGATCCTGAACAACATCAAGTCTAACACGTGCCATACTATGCACAGACACTTGGCATTGATCTAGCAAAGATTATGTCAAGATATCAGCCATCTGTAAATGTTCTTTGTGTTTAACTCAAAATTTGAAACAAAAAACCCAAAATGTTTATTTTTCTGGGGTTATTTTTGTTCTTTATGGTCTGGGGTTTTTTAAATAAAAATAATTTGGCTAAAAGTCATGTAACACAAATTTAATTATGATAGTGTCACTATCAGTGAAGTTTAATATATCCAGAAGATCTGAAGTCCGTTCCTTTCATATAAGCTCATTTCTATAACAACATGTTGATTAACAGCATGTTCTTGGATCACATTTTCTGTTCTTTTAATGCAAGATTAATATCAGGCCAAATGCTTCACTGCTTCCTGAGTCCTGCTGTTCAGCATTCTGAAACACTGGCACAGAACAAGTGCCCTTCCCAGCATCTCTTAATTTCCTTGCAAAAAAAAAAGTATTTCTGTCATATAACAATAATTTTAGACTCTAGCACAAACTATGCCTAGCTCTAGAATGGGCAAAGGAAGGTCACTCATGCATAAAGGCTATAAAAAACCCAGTATTAACAACAAAAGCATAATTCTATCACCCTTACTAAATATAACTTCAAACCCCTCAAAACCTCTTAGCAAACAGTTCATAGTTGCGCCAGAGACAAAAAGAGTCAGTACTAAAAACCAACTACAGAGTCCAAATTCTGATTCCATTGGTTACAGTTGTAGGGGAAATAAAAGAGAAGCAACAGCCAACAGCAGTGAGGCTCATTAGTTCTTCTTAAAAGGAATTATATTCTGCAACTGTCCACAATTAAATACCAGGTAAGATAGGCCAATGGTCTGGCCCAGTAAAGCGTTTCTTATGACTCCTGGCACATCTCATATTGCTTTTTCCTTTCCTTTCATTCTTTCACAAGACAACTACGACTGCCATGTCCTCCTGTGCCAGGATTCAGTTTATAATTACTTTTCTGAAAGTACTATTTCATAAATATATAAACTTTGTTCCTCTCTAGTCTCTATTTTAAGCTTTTTTTCTGTACAAACTTATACAAATACCACAACATTTACAGAGTTATGATACTTACAAAGGCTGCATGCCTTCCACGAAACCCACGAGTACACTGTTGCCTCCATGGTTTCCAAACAATAAATCCCAAGAGGTATAGAACAAACATGGATGTTTTTGCAAACGTACTGAAAAAAGGTTTGTTGTACTTTGTAAAAACATACTGTGGAAAGAAAATAATTGTAGTATCCAAAATTACCAAATAGGTGAGAATTCACAAAAATTAATGAACAGGTGTGAGAATATACTCCAGAACAGTATATTTGTTATATATTACACATGAATATATATATATTTTGGTTCCCAAAAAGACAGCACTATGAACATTGGCAGGGATGACCAAAATAACCATGTGCCCTACTTGTTCTGGGGGTACCCCCTTCCAAGCTATTTCTAATGCCAACAAGAAGGCACTGAGCCATTTTGTAGAACATAATGCCACCAGAAAAAAATTATTTATTACTTGTATCTAACCGCGTAATATATTTCTATGCCACTGAACTCAAATAGGTCTGAAAACACATTTATATACAAATATTTTCTAAATTAAAGATCCCTTTTGTAAGCAATAATATAGTAATCAAAAATTAGAGAAGATTGATTAAGTAACATTTCAGTACCAATAGCAATTCCATCGGCTCATTGGAAAAAATGTTTTATTAATAATACAACATGTTAAGCACAAACATTTGTATATGTTTAATTTCAAGACTGATACAAAACAGAACAACTTAAAGACAGTTCAGAAACCTGAATTTGATCAGAATTTATTAAAAACTCAATTTCCATTGCTAAAGCTCTATTTTAAGTCCTAAAACTTAACAGGAAGTAAATACCACAACAGTTTCAATATGGTGAACATATGAACTAGATGCAATTACAAGGCTTAAACTCCATGACCTGAGTCCTTTCATCCTGGACTTCTATATGCCCTGATCTACAATCCTCCACCAGCCTGCCATGTTATCTTGTTTACTACTTTTTGGGAAACATATGGGCATTATTTTAATCATTATGGCAATAAACAAAACAAACTCCCTATTTACAGTACGTAGTTATGAGCTTATGCTGCTCTATTTTAAAGTCATCAGTAAGACCTTCTGTCTCAAAAGCAGCAGTCACTGAGTTGATCTTACTTGCAACTTTTAGTGGATACAGGCTGGTTCACTAACCCAAAGGGTATCACCTTCCCCGTACTGAAAAGGTTAAACACTACACAACAACACCCACTGGGTATTTGAGTGACCATGTTTCTGCTGCATCTTTCTCTTCAACAGGCTTCTATATTCCCTTTAAGATGTGTGGAGCAGTACTTACAGAAGTGAGTTCCGAAGAGGCAACCCATATCACATCAACGAGGAGGAGGATGACGATTCCCAGAGCCAGTCGCCGACGCTGAGCGGATGAACTGCTCTGGGAGCTCATTCGGTTCATGATAAAAACCCACACCATTTGTAACCTGGTTAAGGTCAATAAAGAAACAAACACCAAGAGATTACAAACAGTGACACAAAACCCCCCCAGTAAACAGCAGGACAAGTGTTTCATATACGTGAACTGGGCCCATATGTAAGGACACATATGCTTGTGCTTGCTAAAAAGCAAATCTTTGACAGATATGGCATGAAGTTTTCATTGGGGCAATTAGAAAGTAAATCTTGACTTTTAGAGAATTTATCAACTGCTCTAGCACTGAAGTAAGCACAAGTAAGTAACACATACAATACCTTTTTGGAATTTCTAGGCTACAAGTTCTGCTAAATTTGAAACTACTATATTTTGGTAAATTCAGATACCAGACAGTAGAAATAAGTTTGATGTCTTGGGTCAAAAATAATTCTGCTAAAGGTAGTCAGAAACATGTTTAAACTTAAGTATTCAACAAACATTTCCAAAGTCATAGCAGGACATTTGGATAAATTATGATCCCTCAAAGCATGAAGAGTTTAAAAAAAAGAAGACAAATTGATTGTAAACTTAAAGTAGTCACCTTTACAGAGCAGCTCCTGATTTTCCCAGTAAATAGAGGTGATCTACTTTGCTAACACAGTTTGATGAATTTAAACTAAACTTTGTTTTTTCCATGTGTCAACTTACAAATACTTACTATCTCTTCATTATTTAAAATTATTTATGAAAAAGACAGTGTCACAATGTCTTCAGTAAGGAAGCTCCATTTCTTTTTTCCAGAGTAGCCTGTTCGTCAGATTAATGATTCAAATGCCCAGATATGCACAAGTATATTGCAGAAAATGGCTTTGTTTCCTGGTTTGACTCATGCCTCCCTTTACAATACAGTTTCTGCCATGTTCAAATCTTGACACTTTTTCCTCCATTTCTCAAAGGGTTTCTTTCCAAAGAAAAACGAACAGGCAGAGTTCCTGAAGTGTAATTATACCACTAGATCTATGCTGATATATTCCATGTGTGGGCATCAGTTCTGGATAATTACTCTGCTTTCCTGACAGAATGGCGGGATTGACAAAAGAAAGCAGAAGTCTGTAAGTAGGGAGGGGCAAAGTTATGAAAGGCTCAGCAAGGAATTACAGTTTTTACTCGATAAGGAATAAAGGAGAACCATTTGTTCTCAAAGAGAGAATAAATCGGTGTATTAAACTCGAGCAAACCAACAGAAAGGTTTTCATGCTTGAAAGCTTATAAAGGTTTTTTCAGGTTTTATGAATTGGTCTAATAGATGCTACATATTATACTCTACAAACTTTGCCTTCATTTTATTATGACTAATAGCCTATGAACCATTATATTAAGTTATATTATATACAGCCTAAAAATTGCTCATGTGGTTGCATAATGGGAAGCAAAAACGGAAGGTGGGCATGAAAGGGTTCAAATGAGCTGGAAGGAAGAAATCTCACACCATGTCAGGCTACAGCACGATTCATGAACAGTATTAAGGTGTACTAGAAATGGAACCCACTCCAGTCTCCCACCAGTTACATGCTGCAGGAGGGAGGGGGAGATACAGCTGGAGACAGGAAGGAGCAGCAGTGGTCTGATAAACTGGATGTCTCTACATCAGATGTTCACATCTACAGCTTTTCTGTTCTCACCACAAACTGCTTCAAAGGGTATAGCACATACACACTGTGAACAGAGATCATGCAAAGATATCGTGCACAGTCTGTAGTTGCTCAGTATTGTACTCAGCTTGTCTACATCAGGCTTGTACAAATCCCTTGCTCTAAGATCCCTCAGCAGGAAGGAAGTAAAGAATGATAGAATATCCACTACTTCTTAGAGAAGAAGTTACATATAAAGTTATTCACAGTCTAACTACACACTGCACCATTTCTTTTGTACTCACGATAAGTAGATTCTAAAATTCTAAATAAAGAGCCCATAATTATGTCTTGAAGTTGAAATTTTTTGTATGTTACAGTAAGAGCAGCTATTACTTTCTCATCTGACTGCAAAGTGTCTGTTTAACATTTCTGTGTGCCTAATACAGCCCTTTCCTTGATTCTTCCATAACAAGGTAAAAAGCTTATGGAGAAAGGGTGAGTACAAAGTCCTCATTGTGCAGCACGATGCACCTTCAAGCTATAGGCAATACTTAAAACACCCATAATGCTCAGCAGAAAAACAGAACCCTATGGAAACTGGTATACTAAGTTTTAGGACAGGATTAAAACCCTGTAAAACATCACACAAAATGCAAAGACAGAAAGAAACTACTATTTTGAGAAGTTTTAGACAGATACATTGTCCTACTAATTAACAAAGCACCAGTACTGATGAACTTGCAATGACATATATCTCCACACATTTCTTTATGTTTGGCTTCTGTACATTGAGGGCAATATAGTCTGACAAAAATGAACACAAAAGAATAAGATTTACTTTTCTCATACATACCTTTCACAATAACAGTAAAAGAAAAAGAAAAAATGCTGACTAAAAAGCTTCACACATCATGTCAAAGTGAAGACAGTCTCCTAAAATGAAAAAAAATAAAAAAAGCGCAAAGTTTAAAACATTGTGTGCACGTGTATATTGCACGTCTCTTTGCAAAACATTTCCTAAAATGTTGAGTTCCGTAAGTTCTGCTGCAGCTCAAGTCCTAAGTGTTGAGGACAGACAGGTCTACAACCTTAAGAATCGACCTTCATAAAAAATGCTAGGACAGTATTGAATCACAAGAAAACAGCTTTTTTAACTTTACTACTTTTGATATTTCAAAGAACATGATCCCTTCCTTATTAATTAAAGAGGTTCACATGAGAAACAAGAACCTGATGACGTTAAATTCTGATTTTTTTAAGCGATGCAGAGAAAGGCCCTATTGTTAAGCCCACATTCGTAAGCAAAGAATCTAAACATTAGAGTTAGGAAGGCAGTGGAAGACTGTATAGGCTTTTTGCCCTTAATATACTCTAGAAACATAAGGCATCTCCATGTTATGTCTTGTGGAAACCCACTGAACTCAACATGTACACACTGCTCAACATCCACCAAGTTCAAACCTTTTCCACGCAGTTTACCAAATCACTATAGCTGATAAAAAAAAAAAGCCAACAAAAAACAATAAACAAACAAACTGGAAGATGTATTTTGCATTTTTAAGACACAAGTATGTGACTATCCATCTCCTATTCCACAAAGCCTAAGCTCACTGTAGATCCTGAACACCTGTTTAGTTCAGTGCCCTCACATACAAAGAGTAGCTGCTAGTCATGTTTTTCTTCTTACACTACCAACCCAATTAGAGATTAAGGTCAGTATCTCAGATAACCAAGACTTAAACCAGAAGACTTTTATTGATACAAAGCTCAAACAGTTTGAACATGCCCAATTTAGGCATCCAAAAGAACCAAATATAACAATAACAAAAATAAAAAGAAAGCAAAAAAGATACTTAAAAATTCTTCCCTCCATGTACACCAACACAAAGATCACTAAGGGAAAGATACTATTCAGTTGCTTACTTCTCACCCCTACTTAATCCATGTTTTAGTTATATTCAAGTGACCAGGTGCAGAACTTGCACCTAAATTCAGTTGTTATGCCAGACACATCTCAACCCTTTATCAGCACGCACAATCTACTGTGGGCTGTTCTCACTAGAGCTGATCACACAGAACCCTGTTCAATGTTTATTACCAATAATTAGCCCATTTCAGGATAAGGACAAAGGTTTAGCATATTGACATAACATCTGACACCTAAACCAAGAACTGCTCAAGACATTTCTCCCTAAGATCATGGTTTTACCCTTACAAAAGTGCACAAGTTATGATAAATCTAAGCCACTAGAAGATATATAGGCTGAAATAGAAATGATGGTTTAAAAGTATTAAATACAGCAGAAACTTCAGCATGTCTGCCTTTTGTTTCCATTATTAGGAAATAAATATGCTTTCCACATGCTGTAACTTTAAATATACCACTCAAAATTTGACATTTAAAGGAATATTCATTTTAAAGGCATTTCTCAATATCATTATCATTTTCAGCAAATAGCATGGAGATGTTCTAAAGTGGGGTTTTTTATTCATTTATTTACCATTTCCACAGTCTTAGATTTGGTGCTGTCATCTTGTGGAACCATTTCTAAGCCAGTTACATGAGGATCTTCTGAAAAAAAAATTAAAAATATACTTAACATTTCTTGTCATGACACTGTACTTTGGTTTTAAAATGTTGCAGTATCTTAGATCATGTAAGCAGAGTCACTGCTTTAATTTATGATACCAAAAAAAATACAAAAAATGGTCTCACTATGTAGTCTACAATGTACGTTCACATAGATGATTGCACTAAAGCCACCAGGCTCAGCAGCCTGTCAAACTCTGCTGTTCCAAACGTGCAACAAGCAACCCCTGAGGGCAGAATGTATAACTGCATCATTGACACTTCATGTATAATCTTATTTTAATAGCATTAAATATTTCTTTGTGCAGATTATCACTTTTCCACATTAAAAGTTCCACCCCAAAAAAAAGAAAAATCACATGAAACTCACAAACTATGAAATCACTTCTATTGCATTGACAGTTAGGGAAGAGAACATTATAAGCCAGAGAACTGCCAAATAACTGCAAAACAGAAGTATTGCATCTGGCTGTTCTATGAGGAAAATACAGCCCCTCCTGCCCCAAAAGAAAAAAAAATAATCAAAGAGTACATAACAAGAATGACAAGAGACCGAGAACAGCAGCTCAGTCACAAACCATGGTGCAAGCAAGTCAACTTGAAATTCTTCCTTGTATTTACTCAAGATTATTTCATATACAATTTGAAAGACAACATACCAAGATAAGGCTTGCACACAGAAGAAATGGGTTTAGTTTTTCCAGTTATACTGGCTGCTCCAATAATACCAGTTCTGGGATACAACCTCCTCCCCCCTCACGTGCTGTCATCAGGTGATTCTTGTTTCACATTTGATTACTTTTGAGATAAGATAAACAGAGACACTGCTTTCACTCTAACCAGAAAAAATCTGAAAGTAAACTCATTTTAAACCTATAGGAAATGTACATTAAATCAATGCTAATCTAACACAGCCCTAATTTCCACTACAAAGGGTGTCACAAGATGAGAAAAAAGGCAAGAACCTCCAGGAGAGGTGGAAAGCTGAGCCTTATGCAACACGACTATTACATTCACTACAGCCCTGTCATTTTTACTCAAAGAAAGTTTCCTGTAGGATCTTTAAAATATAGTGAAGCAAAAGATCCAGAAAACACGAAGCCAAGTTTTCCATGCCAGTATTGAGTACCGCAACAAGAGATCACTGTTCCTAGCTAAATAAAAAGTTATACAACACCAAAGTTTGAACACAAAGGACGTTAATTGTATTACCAAAACAAGAGAATTTAGCTTAACATAAAGAGACATTTTAGGAATCTGGCACTACACAATGTAACAGTTACACTGTCAAACTGTCATGGCACAGCTGGATCCTGGTATCTAAGGAATAAAAAGAACACCTGAAATTCAAGTTTCCTATCCAGCACTTACCCAAAATTCATGAAACAACATTTCTTACACAGAACTAGTAACACAGAATATTAACTTATTGCATACTTCAGAGTATTTACCAGCTACCAGAGCATCCAAGCACTCAGTTCGTTCTCATGTCACCCCAGCAAGGCTGTGACCCTGTTGGACGCGAACAACTCAGACTGCACTGAGTTAGAAACACCCAAGTTTCAGGTCTGCAGAGTGAAAGCTGACAAGTGGAACTGACACTGATCTCCTTCTCCTGCTCGTCCAGGAACATCAGAAGAAAAAACCCCATGTCAAGCTGCCAAGGTGTTACCTCGTACAAAGCAATCTCTAGCCACCAGTAGCTATATATTTAACATCAGCTGAGGATTACATATGACATCCCTTTCACATGCTGCAGATCTAATCTTGTCTAGTGCAAGGACTAAACATATCGTGCTTTGTCACAGGATATACAGCCATGTATCCCTGATAACGACCAGCAGGGCAGCTTTCAATGGGACACTCTGGCAGCTGAAAGCTGAGCCCTCCAGGCACAGAAGAAATCGGCAGAACCATCACACTCAGAGTTAAGGGAGGGTCTCCTCCTTCCTTCCTGTCACTGGTATCTTTAGGGGAAAGTAGCGGGAAGAGAGGGAAGGAAATGAGTAAGTCTCCTTAATGCACTTAAGAGAAAAGTGGATGCCTGAGGAGAAAGAAATGTGGATCAAGCCCTTGGGCTCTTGGAAGAGGAAGGAAGGATAAGTATCGTGCACTTGCAGCTAAAATACTAGAGACCACTGGAGCAAAGGGAGCTGCAGCCCAAGCAGGAGGTGCACAGACCCCACACACACACACAAGGAGAGGCAGGACAGCGGTGCCAGCTCAGAATCAATGAATCCATCAGGTTGGAAAACACCTCTGAGATCATCAAATCCAACCTATGACCAAACACCACCGTGTCAACCAGAATATGGCACTGAGTGCCACATCCAGTCTTTCCTTAAACGGTTCCAAGGACGGTGACTTCACCACCTCCCCGGGCAGCCCATTCCAGTGTTTAATCATCCTTTCTGTGAAGAATTTCTTCCAAATGTCCAACTTAAACCTCCCATGGCGCAACTTAAGACTGTGTCCTCTCGTCCTGTCACTGGCTGCCTAGGAGAAGAGCCCGACCCCCAGCCGGCTAAAACCTCCCGTCAGGGAATTGTAGGGAGCAATAAGGTCGCCCCTGAGCCTCCTCTTATCCAGGTTGATCCTCTGCTCAGCTGCTCCTCACAGGACTTGTGCTCCAGACCCTTCATCAGCTCCGCTGCCCTTCTCTGGAGTCTCTCCAGCCCCTCAGTGCCTTTCCTGCAGTGAGAGGTGATGGGGCTGGGCACAGCACTCGAGGTGCGGCCTCTCCAGTGCCGAGTTCAGGGCGGAATCACTTCCCTGCTCCTGCCACACTATTCTTGCCACACGCTGGGTCTGGGCAGAGCGGGACCTCTCCGTACGCACCCCCTCTATCCCGGGCAGGGGCTACCCGGGGCGGGGAGCGCAGAGCGCCTTCCCCGAGCCGCTGTCACGGGCGGACGGGGCCGAGGGGCGGCGGCACCGAGTCACTCACTCACTCACACACACACACACCCGGCCCAGGCGGGGGGCAGAGCTCCCTCCCGGCCTCGCTGCCCGCAGCCCCGCGGTTTCTCTCTCCCCTCAGCCGGTCGCCCCCGACGGTACCTGAGGCCGCGCCGGGCCCGGCACCCCCCGCGCTCCGTCCGGCGGCGGCACCGCCCGCCCGCGCCGGACACCCCCAATCCATCGCCGAGACAGCGAGCGATCGCCCCGCCCCGTTCTCGGGACGGCCCCATCGAGCCTCTCGGCCGGCAGCTCGCCGCCCTTGCCGTGACTGCGGGAGGAGATGGTGGGGGGGCCCGCGGTGGGAATGGAGCCGGTTGTGTTCCCATCCCCGGCCGCACTCCCCTTCCTGGTCGCATCCCTAACCCCGTCTCCATCCCTATCCCTGTCCCCATTCCCATCGCCGTTCCCATCCCCATCTCTGTCTCCGTCCCTATCCCCTTCGTCGTCCGCATCCCCATCCCATCCCCATTCCATCGCCGTCCTCATCCCCTTCCACATCTGTATCCCCATCCCCAAACCCTTCGTCATCCGCATCCTAGTCCTCATCCCCATACCCATGCCCGTCCCCACCCTCATCTCCATGACCAACCCCAACTCCATCCCTATCCCCGTTCCCATCCTGTCTGTCCTTTGGTGCTGTGCCAAAGGCTGAGGTCCCGGTGCCCGCACCGCGGTGTCCCCGGGCGCGGCCGGGGGCGGGCGGGAGCAGCTTCGCTCCATGTCCCGCTGGGAAACCCCGCTCCGCTGCCGGGAATGCCGCGCTGGGCTCCGGCTCCTCTCCCGGAGTCCTCTCCGGCCCGGCGGGAACTGGGGGACAGCGGGAAGAGCCACAGCGGGTGGTAAAGCCGGACTTATAGTGGTCCCACCAGGCGTGGGACATCCCCTGCGGCTCCCGGGCAGCTCTTCCTCGGCTCCTGGGAGCAGAACTGGCTGTTCCGTCGAGATGGACCCATGGGAATGGGTAGAACACCTCTGATGAAGGAGAGCTCCCTCGCTATAGACGGGCAGTTATCTAGGACTTATACGGGCTTTTCCAAAGCACTGAGATAAGCAGGTCAAAAAAAAAAGGAAAAGAAACTAAAATATGAGGGAGTAGAGAAGGCAGAGGAAGAGAGCACGGACTGAAGAACTAGAGATGGAGAAGTGGGATGGAGCTTGAAACCAGTCTGTCAAAAAAAAAGGGAAGAAAGAAAAACCAACGTGTGCAAGACCCTTGAGAAGTGTCCTAAAATGCAGTGAGATGGGGGAACCTTTATTTCATAGTTACCATAATCTTTACACTCTGTGATAGAAAATCTCACAGGACTGGGAAGTAGTGTCAACTAATTAAATTCTCAAAATGTCTGCTTCATAACATGCTTTTAATAGTATAAAAAAGTGAAATTGTGTAGATGTATAAGCTATATTAAAGCAGACTTCCCTTAAATTTAAGATGTGTAAGGTAGTGACTAACAAGCTGTAAAAAGAAATACTACACAAAATGCACCAAAAATAATGAATAAAAAGAACTATCATAGGCTTAGGCGAAATTGCAAAATCAGGTTCTGGTCTTGTTTGTGTTGGTTTTGTAGTCCATGTTACCTCCTTGTAGTCAGTGTTGATTCGTATTTAGGAAATGAGCTCATAATATCAACCTAAAGATAACCAATGGTGTATGTCATATGTTCCAGATTATTCAGTATTCACCTGCTAACAGAAATAAAGCTCTTTTTAAAATGTAACTACTACATATTTTGGGAATTTTACAGTAAAAACTGCTAGGAAATAATAGTAAGCAATGTATACATATGAGTAGAAAGGTAAATGATGTTAAATTGTAATTAGGTGATACATATGGTATAGCTGTGAAGTTATTAAGTGCTATTCATACTTACAAAGTGTTGAAGTCAAACATGATATTTCACCCTTTCTACAAGTTAGTGATTGAAAAAATCCATTATCTCATATAAAAATGTTATGTCTTATCATCATCTACCTGGGTATTACTGTTGGGCTTGAATTGTTTCCTATATATAAACAAAAGTTACTTATTAAGAAGAAAAGAAAAAACTTTTAAGCACTTTTAGTCTCAAACTGCTTTGGGCTTTTTATGTGAGACTTAATTTCTTAATATAGCTGTATTTTAATTTGCATATAATATCCCTAAGAGACTTCTAACAAGCTTGATGCCTCATAAAACTGGTTGTTAAAAGTAGTAAGATACAATCCCTACCCTGAAGCATTTATAGCGTAAATGACACAAGGAAATGTAGTGAATTACACTTTTGGTTCAAACTGTCCTTTTTTGATGTACTCTCGAGTGTATACATTATAAATGATAGCGTATTGATTTGTTGTGCTTCTGTCCTCACTAACTTCTACCTTTAAGCCAATATTGCCAAAATGTGCAGTATGGTGCTTTTATATGAAATTTTGACTTTACAGCTTCGGAAAGAGATTTTAGGTAAAATGAATTTTTTAGACAAAGCTGCAGGAAAATAGCACTGCTCTTGAAATAGTGCATTCTGTGAGATTTGGAGGAGCTGAAAATTACACAAAATGTAATTGCAAAAATGTGTGTACATCTGACAGCATCTAATTTTGTTGGGTCTCGCAGATCTTTGCTTTAAGTATTTATGGTGAAACTCAGTAAACTTACATGGCTTATCCAAGGTCAGCCAGTTATTAAGTGGCGAAACCTGAGAAGACAACCAAAGAGTTATGACTACAGTATTCTGACAGAAAAACTACACGTAAGACTTCTTTATAGCTAATAGTGCTTTTACTAAATAATATATTGAAGAATATTATGCATAATTTATATTAAAATAGGGTGAATGTTTTGTATTAGAAAAAAAGAAAAACGCTGTGTTTGTTCTTGTGAACAGGGAGATAAATAAGGCAACAGGGACAGTTGAGATTCTCTGTCTTGTTAATGTGTTGATAGAAAAGCTCTGGAAAAGGGGAACTCATCTTTGAGAACAAGCATAATAAAGCTTGGCTTGGTTTGCTGCCCCTGGAAAGTGTTGTCCCACAGTGAGTGGCAGTAGCTGGTGCTAAGGATAGCAAAATAACTGATATGCAGATTTTCTGTCTTTTCTTCCTTTAGTCTCCTTTGACAGTGGAAAGTATATGAAATCCCAACTGAATTAAAACAAGCTTTCTGGGTGTAACTCCATGTGTCCTCTCCTGTATGTGAGTTTTCTTCTTTAGGAGGCTACACAGTTTGCATCTCAACATTGCAACACAGTTAAATCTACCTTGTCAATGTTTTGATTTTAAACATTTTGACTGGGGCAGGCAAACAGGAGAGAACTGCAGTCCTTAAGGTGGAGTGCCCAGATTCTCTTCATCACAGGATGAGGCACTTATGCTGTGGTTCCTGAAGCATTTGAAGAAAAACAGGTCAACACTGTCAGAAGCCCAGAAATTTGTACTTATTGCACATATAAATATTACAGGACTTCTGTATTTTTAGCTCTTGACTAAGTAATTTTCTTCCTATTGTAAAAGTTCACATGATGATCTTGTGTCTTCTCTGAAAGAAACTATTATAAGAATGATTTCCTTTTTTTTTTTTTAACTGTTCCTTTTTTAGGAATTAGATTTCAGTAAACACACCTCATAAAACTATATGTATCTTGCAAATATACACATACTGCATATTTATTTTTCTTGCTGTGCATATTTTAGTTACATAAATAGCACTTCTTATAGGCAAAGCAAAATTACATCTACTTCCCAGGAGCACTGTAATATTTTCATGAGATAAAACATCTGCTATTTTTTACAGACCTGATAAATTGCACTTATCAAGAGTATTTGAATTTAGTTTCTGCTCATATACGTTCTACTTAAAAGAACATAGCTGATTTGGATAAAATAGATGTGATCCCCAGAAGGAAATTTAATACTCTGTAGGTCTCATAATAGGTCTCTACAAATGAATTGAATCTACTTATTTTAGAGAAATGCTTCCTTCAGAAGGATTTGGAACAGATCTTTGATGAACAAGATATTCATGTTGATGAACAAGGCAAAGCAGCAGAAGAAACTGTAATAAAATTTAAACTGACAAAGTCAGTTTTGATCAACTTCTGTTCTCCTTAGGGAAAGGATGTAGTCTGAGTGTTGAGGATGTATGACAGCAGAGTTTTCCCCTGTTCTGTTGGGTTAGATCAAAAGTCCATTTAGCTCAGAATCATCGTGTCTCCACATGACTCATAATAGATGCCTGGGAAAAATGGTGTTGGAAACAGGGGAATAGTTATTTCCATGTCACACCCTTCTAGTTTTTAGAAATAAATGGTTAACAGCATCCTTATCTGGAACTCTGTAATTCAGCCACTGTATTTAATAGCTCTTGATGGACCTATGGATTTGGCCAATCCCTTCTGTGAACCCAGTTATACCGTAAAACATGAGCTCTTAAGGATTTATTTAGGCAGAGTCTTGTGGTGTAAAAGAAAGTGTTTTGTTTCAGTGGGTTTAGGCCACCGGTTAA